GTGCCCTGGAGGTGGGGGTGCCCTGGAGGTGGGGTGCCCTGGAGACGGGGGTGCCCTGGAGGTGGGGGTGCCCTGGAGGTGGGGTGCCCTGGAGACGGGGGTGCCCTGGAGACGGGGGTGCCCTGGAGACAGGGGTGCCCTGGAAGTGGAGGGTGCCCTGGAGGTGGGGTGCCCTGGAGACGGGGGTGCCCTGGAGGTGGGGGTGCCCTGGAGCAAGAGCCTGGTCTCTGGGAAGCCCAGGGACAACACCCAGGGTGGGGGAGGGCTGTGGGCCCCCAACACACCCACTGTCCCCCAGCACCTGGAGGTGGGGGTGCCCTGGAGGTGGGGGTGCCCTGGAGGTGGGGGTGCCCTGGAGGTGGGGGTGCCCTGGAGCAAGAGCCTGGCCTCTGGGAAGCCCAGGGGCAACACCCAGGGTGGGGGAGGGCTGTGGGCCCCCAACACACCCACCGTCCCCCAGCACCTGCTCGAGAGGAAAGTGGACGTGCCAGGACAGCCCGCACTGCCCGTCCACCTGTGCCCTCTACGGGGAGGGCCACGTGGTCACCTTCGACGGCCAGCGCTTCGTGTTCGACGGCAACTGCGAGTACATCCTGGCCACGGTAACCGTCGGGGGCTGGGGGCGGGAGGGGGGGGAGCCAAGGACAGGGGGAGGGCAGCCCAGGGCCCCTCCTCAGCACCCCCTCCCCGCAGGACGGCTGCGGCGCCAACGCCTCACAGCCCACCTTCAAGATCCTGACAGAGAACGTCGTCTGCGGCAGGTCGGGGGTCACGTGCTCCCGGGCCGTCAAGATCTTGCTGGGGGTGAGCGGGTGGGGCAGGGCCTTTCGGGCAGGCGGGGCGGTGGGGCCCCTGCCACACGCTGGACCCGCACTCTCGCCACCCCCCCCCCCCGGCACACGACAGAGCACGGGGCAGGGACACCGCTGCTCGCTGGCTGGGCGCCCGGGACCCGTGGCTGCTGGACCTGCCCCAGGGCTCCGGGCCGAGCCCCAGGAACCCTCTGCCTAGAGCCGGCTCCCAGCAGGTGGCCTGCGCCTTCCTGCATGGGCCCTGAGAGCTCAGCCTGCGGCCCAGGGCACTGGGGGTGCCGGGCAGGCAGCCCCGTGACAGCCCCGCTCCACAGGGCCTGTCCATCGTGCTGGCCGACGGCAACTACACGGTCACAGGGGACGACCCCCTCGTGCACCTCCGCGTGCAGCCCAGCGCCCTGCACCTCGTCCTGGACATCGGGGTCCCAGGGAGGTACAACCTGACGCTTGTGTGGAACAAGCACATGACCGTCTTCATCAAGATCCTCCGCGCCTCCCAGGTACCCACTGGGGACCCGCTGGCACCCCGCCCGCCACCCCAGGCTGCTCTCGGGTGGGGCAGCCGCCCGAACCCAGCCGGCTCCCTGCCTGAGCCGCCCCCGCCGCCCCCACAGGACGCCCTCTGCGGCTTGTGCGGCAACTACAACGGGAACATGAAGGACGACTTCGAGACGCGCAGCCAGTACGTGGCCTCCAGCGAGCTGGAGTTCGTGAACTCGTGGAAGGAGAGTCCGCTGTGCGGGGACGTGAGCTTCCAGGTGGAGCCCTGCAGCCTCAACGCCTTCCGCCGCTCCTGGGCCGAGCGCAAGTGCAGCCTCATCAACAGCCAGACCTTCGCGGCCTGCCACAGCAAGGTGGGCCCCGGCAGGCACGGGCTCCACACCCGTGGGCCCCCGCGCCGACGTCGGCAGGGCCAGGCCCCGTCCCAGCCCAAGTGGGGAGGCCGGACGAGGGTCTCCCGCTGCGGGGTCACCAGCGGGCCGGGGACCGGGTGGTGGAGAGGTCAGAGCCGCTGCTGGAAAGCGGGGTCCCGCGTAGTAGCGTGACGCGGGCCGCCATGCGCACCGTGGAGTGTGTAGCCGCACCCGGGCCTGCCGTGAGATGCGCCCCAGCGGGGCCGCATTGCCGGGCGGGGACCCTGCTCCGGAGTGAGTGGTGGGGGAGGAGGCGCTGCAGGGTGTGAGACCACCGCACGCGGTGCGGCCCCGGGCTCGGACTGCAAGGAGGGAGGGGGCGCCCCGAGCCGGAACAGCCAGTGCAAAGGCGACGCGTGGCCTGCGCCCACAGAGGCCGCCCACGTGAGCACATGGGCATGTGCGGGGCCAGTGAGCCTAGCAGGCCCTGGCCCCGGTGGGGTCTTGAGGCCGGAGCAGCAGCCCTGGGGGGCAGTCCACGTGCGCACACGCACACGGGGCCAGCCGGGCCCGACTCACGGCACACCGGCTCCATGCCGGCCTCGCCATGTGCCCAGGCCCCAGGGACACAAAGCCTGGCGCCTGGCCGTCACACGGCAGCCAGACACGGACGGGCGCCCGCTCCCACAGGTGTACCACATGCCCTACTACGAGGCGTGTGTGCGGGACACGTGTGCGTGCGACACGGGTGGGGACTGCGAGTGCCTGTGCGACGCTGTGGCTGCCTACGCCAAGGCCTGCCTGGACAAGGGCGTCTGCGTGGACTGGAGGACCCCCACGTTCTGCCGTGAGTGACTGTCCCCCCGCCCTCTCCCCGGAGGGCGCCAACCGCGTCCCTGCCGGGCTGCTCTGGGCCTGCCCTCAGCCCCGGGAGGGAGCCCCGCCACGAGAACATGTCCACGTCCAGGTCCCTGTGCACGGCCCAGTGGCCTCCACTGAGGCTTGGGTCATGGCCAGGGCCCCCCGCTGACGACAGGCACCCTTCCTCCCAGCTATCTACTGTGAGTACTACAACACGCACAGGCAGCTGGGCGGCAGCAGCGAGTACCAGTACACGCAGAAAGCCAACTGCACGTGGCACTACCAGCCCTGCCTCTGCCCCGGCCGGCTAGACGGCATCCCGGGCACCAACGTCGAAGGTACCAGGCGCGGGAGCAGGAGGGGGCTCGTTCAAACATGCACACGTGCATGCATGTGACAACCATCCACACGCGTCCACTTGCACGTTCGTTCATGTGATGCGCAGACACATGCATGCGCCATCACACACATTCGTTTAACACTCATGCACATGCATTCATCTGACATGCACATGCATCCATTCACACACATGTGCATTCATCTGACACACACGCATGCATTCATCTGACACTCATACATAAGCATTCATGCACACTCATACACATTTCTGCACACACGTGCATTCATCTGACACACATGCACACTCATACACACGCATTCGTGCACACACGCGTGCATTCATCTGACACTCATACACATGCATTCCTGCACACACATGTGCATTCATCTGACACACACGAATTCATGCACACACACGCACCGATCTGACACACACATGCATTCATGACACATGTGCATTCATATGACACTCATACACAAGCATTCATGCACACATTCATACACACACTCATCCACACACACGTGCATTCATATGACACACGCATGCATTCATCTGACACTCATACACATGCACACACTCATACACACACATTCATGCACACACACATGCATCATCTGACACACATGCATTCATGCACACCCACATGAACTGATCCGACACACGTGCATTCACATGACATGCATTCATGCACACATGTGCACCCATCCGACACACACACACACGCATTCACACACTCAGCAGATGCGTCCTGAGCACCTCTGTGCTCCGGGCCTGGTTCCATGTTGGGGACATGGCCTCACACACAATAAATGGGGACAGAGGCTTGACAAGCAAATGTGGGAGCAGGAGGCGGCGCCAGGCGGTGTGCACGCCTGCAGGAAACGAGGCTGCAGGGTGCGGAGAGCGAGGGGCTTTGGCGCACAGAGTGAGGCAGCAGGCGGGAGGTGTCCGGGCAGGAACAGCCAGGCCAGGGTCCTGAGGCAGGAGCGGGCCTTGGGCCCGGGGCTGTGGCTGCAGATGCGTGGGCCGTGGCAGGCGGGAGTGAAGGCATGGGGGGACGGTTGGGCAGCGAGACCCTAGTGAGGCCCACGGTGGACCCTGCTCTGAGGCAGGTGCCTTGGTTTGCAGGCGGGTGATGGTGAGGTGGGGGGCCAGGACGGGTGCAGGGAGGCTGTGAGGTGGCCACACAGAGGCCTGGGGAGGCCCCGGGAGAGGCCAACAGGGCTGGCGTCACAGCCAGCAGGTATGGCAGAGGGTGGCGCGTGTGCCTGGGGTTGGGGTGTGTCTGAGCCGTCTGTAGGGGACAAGGAGGAGGGTCCAGCGTCAGGCCCCGGGCAGAGGAGTGGACAGTCAAGGATGGGGGCCGAGGTCACAGCGGGGCTGGGCTGGGAAGGGGGCCCGTGATGGCCGCAGTGGCCAAGGACCGGGCGCGGGGGCTCCCGCGTGCTGAGCCCGGCTGCTCCCACCCCAGGCTGCTACAACTGCTCCCACGACGAGTACTTCAACCACGAGGACGGGGCGTGTGTGCCCTGCGGTAAGTCCGTCAGCTGGCACCGCCAGGCCCCGAGGCAGCCCGCACGCAGGCAGAAGGCACGTCCACACCCGGGCGCTCCCAGCCCCTGCGCAAGCCTCCGGATGCCCTGGCCCCCTCTCCCCACCGGGCTCCCCCGTTGGGGTGCCGAGGCTACCGGAGCCCATCACGGCAGAGACAGAAAACACAGCTCCGAGCCCAGGCGGGGCCTCCCCACTCCGGCCCCCAGACCTCCCAGGCCTGCCGGGCCGCACGGGGCACTCAGCGGGAACCTTCCAGAAGGGCAGGGGCCCGGCACCCCTCTGCTGGTGGGCTCCACCCCAGGCCCTGCCCACGGCGAGCCTCACTGGCCCAGGCCCAGGGGTGGGAGGGCTGCGTGGTCAGCAGGCGGCTGACGGCCTGCCCCTCCCTTTGCAGCACTGCCCGCCACGCCGCAGCCGCCCTCCACAGGTGATTGCACGCACACTAGGTGCCAAGGTGACGCAGGCCCCTTTTCCCCAGCTCTTCCCTGCTCCACGGGACAGCCCAGAGCAGCCCAGCCCTAGTGTCTGCTGGGTGGCGGTGGGGAAGGGTCCAGAGCCCTGTGCTGTCCCCGGGTCTGACCCAGAAGTCAGAGGGCAAGGACAGGTGCGCCTTGGCCCCGGCCGATGCCCAGCCTGGCCCACCGTGGCCCACGGCCCTTGCTGGACCCGCCATTTTGAGCTCGAAGCGGGGTCTCAACGGAGAGGCCGGCCACGCAGACGGCCCAACCAGGGGCCCACAATGCCCTCTAACGGCCACAGGCCAGCCGCCCCCTTGGGTGCAGCCCCCAGCCCACCCAGCCCAGGGGGCTGCAAGGCTTCAGGGCAGGCGAGGGGGGTCCTCCCAGAGGGTGTGCCGGGGCGCCACTGCCCACCCTAACGGCACATCTGCCCCTCCCAGGCTCGCCACCCACAAACGTCCAGCCCACGACGGTAACCCACGGCACCAGTGGGCTCCTCAGCACTCCTGGACCCTCGCCCGGCCCCACCCAGACACCCCACGTTCCGAGCACTCTCCCAACCAGGCCCTCGGGCCCTCCCTCCACGCCCACCACCTCCTCTGCCTCCCAGGAAGGTAACGCACCTCCGGCCCAGCCCCACGCAGGGCCGAGTGGGGAGGGGCGGCTGCTGCTGAGCACCTCAACTCCTCCTGCTCGGAGCCCAGGGGGGGACGTGCCACAAAAAGTTACTAAAAAAACACCTGGCCACTACCGTTGCTGCTCCTCGCCGTCTGAAACTGGCGTTGGAAGACACGTGGGGATGGGGGGCTTCCTGCCTCCAGCTGCCATGCCCCATGCCTCCGTGGCCAGGGACCCAAGAGGGAACCCAGCAAAGCAAGGGTGGACACAGGGTGGCTGGCAGCCCACGTGAGCATGTGACCACTGCCCCAGGAAAGAAGCCACCACGGCAAGGCAGACGGGGAGGCCATGGGAGAGGCAACAGGCAGCTGTCCCCCAAGGACGGTGAGTCCTGGACAGCCACAAAGGGGTCCCCATATACTGCAGTGGCAGGAACTCCAGACACAGGCCTGGGAAAGTGCAGACAGGGCCACAAAGTTCCGGGGGTTGTCCTCTGCAGAGTCTCCCAGAACCACCATGGTGGTCACCACACGCAGCACGCCAGCGCCAGCCACCACAGCCACAAGACCGACGGTGACTCAGGCCACGAGCCGGGCCACAGCATCCTCCCCAAGTCCAGCCACGAAGTCCACAGATGAGCCCACAGCCCAGACTACAGTGGTACCGGGAACTTCAGCAGAGTCGGGGACCAGCTTGAGTCCGGGTGAGTCATGGCCACAGGGTGTCAGGGATCCCTGGGCACAGGGTCACCACCAGTTATGCCCAGGGAGCAGCCCAGGTGGAGAACCTGTACCTTGCAGACCACCCAGTACCAGCAGCACAAGTGGCAGGAGAGGGCTGGCACGTGTGCACGCATGTGCACACACACACACACACACAAACACATGTAAACACACAAAAACATGCAAACACACATGCACATGCAAACATACACACAAAAACGCACAAGCAGACACGCAATAATGCAAACACACAAACCCACCCGCAAACACACACACGCACGGCCCAAGTGAGCATGGGGCAGGGCAGCATTCCATGCCCCAGGTAGAAGGGATGGCCAAGCACAGCCACCAGCCCCAAGGACACACACCGAAGTGGGGGCAGGAGATTGAGGGAGACAGAGAGGCACTCGGGACCTACAGTGGCCACAGCAGATCCCAAAAGGAAAAAGGACAAATGGGAAGAAGCTCGGGACAAAGAAAGACAGGAACACACTGGAGATCAGCTGGGAACACGAAGGGGGACTTGACAATGACAGTTGTCCATCCGAACACAGAATCCACCCATAACGCAGCCCGAGGCACAACCACGACCTGGACACCACAGAACACGGCGACAACACCAACCCCAACCATGACTACCCGCCAGACGACGCCACTTCCCAGCCGGGAGACCAGCCGCCCTGCAACACCGACGATCACTTCACAGACACAAACCTGGAAATCCTCCACGCAATGGACACCCACCGCCACAGTCTCCTCCACTCCACACTCCACAGGGCCTCCCACGGGAACCTCCTTCAAGACCACCAGCTCCCACCCCACACCTCCAAACCCCCAGACCACACTCCCCTCTCACACTCCACCTCTGTCCACCTCCTCCGTCACCCCTACGTCTCACCAAAGCAGCACCACAGCCCACTCACACACACCCACGTCCACCTCCACCCCAGACTCGACGACCACCACACCACCAACTACGTCTCTGGAGGCCACGGGGCCCACCCACACGCCCACACCATTTACAGGGACCTCCCAAGCCCCGGCCTCCTTTAGCACAGCCAGAACCTCTACTTCCCAACACTCACAACCTTTCTCCCCAACCCACCACCACGCCAACTCCTCTTCAGGCACCATCACCCCAAGAATCACCACCATCACCCCCAGACTTACCACCATCACCCCAAGAATCACCACCATCACCCCCAGACTCACCACACTCCCAACCGGGGACCCCGGGGTCGGCACCACCACAGGCACAAACAATGGTCCACACACACCCCACACTACACTCCCCCTATCCACCGCCACAGTCTCCTCCACTCCACACTCCACGGGGCCTCCCACGGGAACATCCTTCAAGACCACCAACTTCCACCCCACACCTCCAAACCCCCAGACCACACTCCCCACTCACACTCCACCTCTGTCCACCTCCTCCATCACCCCTACGTCTCACCAAGGCAGCACCACAGCCCACTCACACACACCCACGTCCACCTCCACCCCAGGCTCAACGGCCACCACGCCTCCAACAACATCTCTGAAGGCCACGGGGCCCACCCACACGCCCACACCATTCACAGGGACCTCCCAAGCCCCGGCTTCCTTCAGCACAGCCAGAACCTCCACCTCTCAGCACTCACAACCGTTCTCCCCAACCCACCACCCAGCCACCTCATCTTCGGCCACTACCATCACCCCTAGACTCACCACCATCACCCCGAAACTGACCACACTCCCAACCGGGGTCCCCGTAGTCCCTACCACCACAGGCACCAACACCGGAACACAAACACCCCGAACCACACACTCCTCACCCATCGCCACAGTCTCCTCCACTCCACACTCCACGGGGCCTCCCTCGGGAACATCCTTCAAGACCACCAGCTCCCACCCCACACCTCCCAACCCCCAGACCACACTCCCCACTCACACTCCACCTCTGCCACCCAGGCCTATTTCCCCCAGGCAGCACCACAGCCCACTCACACACACCCACGTCCCCCTCCACCCCAGGCTCAACGGCCACCACGCCTCCAACAACATCTCTGGAGGCCACGGGGCCCACCCACACACCCACACCATTCACAGGGACCTCCCAGGCCCCGGCCTCCTTCAGCACAGCCAGAACCTCTACTTCCCAACACTCACAACCGTTCTCCCCAACCCACCACCTAGCCAACTCCTCTTCAAGTACCATCACCCCAAGTATCACCACCATCACCCCAAGAATCACCACCATCACATCCAGACTTACCACCATGACACCAGGAATCACAACCATCACGCCCAGACTAACCACACTCCCAACCGGGGAAGCCGGGGTCCACACCACCACAGGCACAAACAATGGTCCACACACACCCCACACTACACTACCCCTATCCACTGCCACAGTTTCCTTCACTCCACACTCCACGGGGCCTCCCATGGGAAATTCCTTCAAGACCACCAACTTCCACCCCACACCTCCAAACCCCGAGACCACACTCCCCACTCACACTCCACCTCTGTCCACCTCCAGTGTCACCCCTACATCTCACCAAGGCAGCACCACAGCCCACTCACACACACCCACGTCCACCTCCACCCCAGGCTCAACGGCCACCACGCCTCCAACAACGTCTCTGAAGGCCACGGGGCCCACCCACACGCCCACACCATTCACAGGGACCTCCCAAGCCCCGGCCTCCATCAGCACAGCCAGAACCTCTACTTCCCAACACTCACAACCGTTATCCCCAACCCACCACCAAGCCACCTCATCTTTGGCTACCACCATCACCCCCAGACTCACCACCATCACCCCAAAACTGACCACAATACCAACCGGGGTCCCCGAGGTCCACACCACCACGGGAACCAACACCGGTCCCCAAACGCCCCGAACCACACACTCACCACCCACCGCCCCAGTCTCCTCCACTCCACACTCCACGGGGCCTCCCACGGGAACATCCTTCAAGACCACCAGCTCCCACCCCACACCTCCAAACCCCCAGACCACACTCCCCACTCACACTCTACCTCTGTCCACCTCATCAGTCACACCTACGTCTCACCCAGGCAGCACCACAGCCCACTCACACACACCCACTTCCACCTCCACCCCAGGCTCAACGGCCACCACACCACCAACTACGTCACTGAAGGCCACGGGGCCCACCCACACGCCCACACCATTCACAGGGACCTCCCAAGCCCCGGCCTCCTTCAGCACAGCCAGAACCACTACGTCCCAACACTCACAACCTTTCTCACCAACTCACCACCAGGACACCTTATCTTCAGCTACCACCATCACCCCCAGATTCACCACGATCACCCCGAAACTGACCACACTCCCAACTGGGGAACCTGGGGTCCACACAACGACAGGAAGCAACACCGGTCCACAAACGCCCCGAACCACACACTCACCACCCACCGCCCCAGTCTCCTCCACTTCACACTCCACGGGGCCTCCCTCGGACACATCCTTCAAGACCACCAGCTCCCACCCCACACCTCCAAACCCCCAGACCACACTCCCCTCTCACACTCCACCTCTGTCCACCTCATCAGTCACCCCTACGTCTCACCAAGGCAGCCCCACAGCCCACTCACACACACCCACTTCCACCTCCACCCCAGGATCATCGGCCACGACGCCTCCAACAACATCTCTGAAGGCCACGGGGCCGATCCACACGCCCACACCATTCACAGGGACCTCCCAAGCCCCGGCCTCCATCAGCACAGCCAGAACCTCAACCTCTCAGCACTCACAACCATTCTCCCCAACCCATCACCAAGTCACCTCATCTTCAGCCACTACCATCACCCCCAGACTAACAACCATCACCCCGAAACTGACCACACTCCCAACTAGGGAACCTGGGGACCACACCACAATGGGAACCAATACCGGTCCACAAACGCTCCGAACCACACATTCCTCACCCACCACCACAGTCTCTTCCACTCCACACTCCACGGGGCCTCCCTCGGGAACATCCTTCAGGACCACCAGCTCCCACCCCACACCTCCCAACCCCCAGACCACACTCCCCTCTCACACTCCACCTCTGTCCACCTCATCAGTCACCCCTACGTCTCACCAAGGCAGCCCCACAGCCCACTCACACACACCCACTTCCACCTCCACCCCAGGATCATTGGCCACCACACCTCCAACAACATCTCTGAAGGCAACGGGGCCCACCCACACGCCCACACCATTCACAGGGACCTCCCAAGCCCCAGCCTCCTTCAGCACAGCCAGAACCTCCACCTCTCAGCACTCACAACCATTCTCCCCAACCCATCACCAAGTCACCTCATCTTCAGCCACTACCATCACCCCCAGACTAACAACCATCACCCCGAAACTGACCACACTCCCAACTAGGGAACCTGGGGACCACACCACAATGGGAACCAATACTGGTCCACAAACGCTCCGAACCACACATTCCTCACCCACCGCCACAGTCTCTTCCACTCCACACTCCACGGGGCCTCCCTCGGGAACATCCTTCAAGACCACCAGCTCCCACCCCACACCTCCCAACCCCCAGACCACACTCCCCACTCACACTCCACCTCTGTCCACCTCCAGTGTCACCCCTATGTCTCACCAAGGCAGCACCACAGCCCACTCACACACACCCACGTCCACCTCCACCCCAGGCTCAACGGCCACCACGCCTCCAACAACATCTCTGAAGGCCATGGGGCCCACCCACACGCCCACACCATTCACAGGGACCTCCCAAGCCCCGGCCTCCATCAGCACAGCCAGAACCTCAACCTCTCAGCACTCACAACCATTCTCCCCAACTCACCACCAGGACACCTCATCTTCGGATACCACCATCACCCCCAGATTCACCACCATCACCCCAAAACTGACCACAATCCCAACCGGGGTCCCCGGTGTCCACACCACCACGGGCACGAACACTGGTCCACAAACACCCCGAACAACACACTCACCACCCACCGCCCCAGTCTCCTCCACTCCACACTCCACGGGGCCTCCCATAAACACCTCCTTTAAGACCACCAGCTCCATTCACACACCTCCAAACCCCCAGACCACACTCCCCACTCACACTCTACCTCTGTCCACCTCCAGTGTCACCCCTATGTCTCACCAAGGCAGCACCACAGCCCACTCACACAAACCCACGTCCACCTCCACCCCAGGCTCAACGGCCACCACGCCTCCAACTACGTCTCTGGAGGCCACGGGGCCCACTCACACGCCCACACCATTTACAGGGACCTCCCAAGCCCCAGACTCCTTCAGCACAGCCAGAACCTCTACTTCCCAACACTCACAACCTTTCTCGCCAACTCACCACCAGGACACCTCATCTTCGGCTACCACCATCACCCCCAGATTCACCACGATCACCCCGAAACTGACCACACTCCCAACTGGGGAACCTGGGGTCCATACAACGACAGGAAGCAACACCGGTTCACAAACGCCCCGAACCACACACTCACCACCCACCGCCCCAGTATCCTCCACTTCACACTCCACGAAGCCTCCCTCAGGAACATCCTTCAGGACCACCAGCTCCCACCCCACACCTCCAAACCCCCAGACCACACTCCCCACTCACACTCCACCTCTGTCCACCTCATCAGT